AAGGTGTAACGCAATTGTTATCAATGCAATATATATATATATATGCAATAATAATCCTTTTTATATACATACACACATTTTAATACATATGCTATACACACACTATACTCTATACATCAACACTACTCGTAATAAGTTAATAAAACGTGACGAGACCACGGAAATGACTATATTTAGATTATTAGTTGAACTACAGTGGATAAGTTAATCCACATCCAAATAACCGATGCCATGATGGATTATCATTGACAATTGACGGTAATAACATCTTCTTAAATTCTTGTCGTGAGATAGTTCTCAAGTCAAGTCCAAATCATTATTTCAAATAGACCCTTGCTTTTGAAAGCTTAAAGATAAAAATTTACTAAAAATTGCGCGTTTCTCAGGTGTATAAATTGAGAAAAGCTCTATTAGTTTCGAACCACAGAAGGGACCGCGGCAAAGTCACGCAGCCTACCCTGTAGCCTGCGCGACTTCGCCGCGTCCGCGCTCATGAGGAAGAACCCCTTTTTGGTTCGAAACTAGTAGAGCTTTTCTAAATTTATACACGTGAGTACCTCGGGATTTTTAGTTAATTTAGTATGTCTCACGATAGTTATTATAAGATAAAAATTGTCAGTCTGTTAGTCAGTCCTCTTAGTGAAGTTATTTGCTCGTTTCAAAATGTAGACTCCAATTAAGAAGAACGAGCAAGAAACTCCATGGTGCTTTTTTAAATTAGTATTCACATATTTACAGATTCTATATACATTATTAAATTAGTTCGATAATGTAAGAATAGTCAACACAAACAGAAAATCGTCTTAAGGACTATACAATCCGAAGCTGACCAGTCCCAATTGACGGTCGCCGTTCACGAACATGACACGTACACGATCATCATGACCAAGAAAATCAAAATACAGAACAATTTGGAAAGACTAAATAACATGATTGAATTGCAACATGATGATAACATTATTGACTACCACAGTGATTATGGCTGGCAGCAAGAAAATCCCAAGAGGCACCTTGGACATAAACCTGATCTGTAGCGGATGCTTCTTGATCACACGTATAAACTGCTTTATCATCTTCCTTTTCGCTGCGTCAATATCTGAAACTAATATTTACCTCAATATGATAGTCCGTTTCTAAAAATATTTGGCCTATACTTCTTTGCCGACATAAAATCATCATCATCATCATTAGCCTCTGAGTAACCACTACTGAGCAAAGCCCTAATCACCACGCTTGCTCTAGGCGGATTTTTTTTCCTTTCTTTTTAAAAAACATTGCCCCATTCTAGGATTTTCTCCTACGTCGTGAGTGCGGTTACAAATTTCGCATACACATGACACCCAGATTGTGACAACAATAAAATTGTGGATCACACAAAGAGTTGTTCCGTGGCTTGGCGATTGACAACTTATAATGAACTATTATAAGTTTAGGTTTTCTCACGACGTTTTTCTTCACCGTACATATGTGACGTGGTGTCTAAATAATCATAGGATTTACATATAACTGGAAAAAGTCAGATTGGTACTTACGAGGTTTCGAACCTGCATCTGCATGAGACGTGGGTGCCTTAACCTCCGGGCAATTCGCCAAACGTGCAAATATGTGTGTGCCTGTGTGCCTCAGAGAGTTGAATTATGAAGCATTATGATCGTCATCGAAATCGCCAACCCACATTGAGCAAACGTGGTGATGAATGATCAAACCTTCTACGCATGAGAAGAAGCCTTTGCTCAGCAGTGGGCACTTATAGGCTGATGATGATGAATGTTTTATCCCGTCAGTCATTTTTTTTTTTGACAATACGTTACAATTAGGGTGTATATTTTTTTGGTGCTTTATCACAAATACAGATTCACATACACATTACACCCAGACCAGGAACAACATTTTGTGGACTACAACAGAAGTGGTTTTGTTGTATTCGGTTGGTTCTGTATTTTGAGTATCCGCGAGACATTGCACGATAGCGAGACGTTGCACAGCCACCGTATCAAGTGTGCAGTAAAATTAAAATAAATCGCCCATGGTATTACCATTTATCATTGTGTTGTGCAGCCGAGCCATCACTCTCTGGCACTTCGCCCACTGGTTACTTGCCATTTGTATCGCCATTATCGGTAATATCATCACTAATAAGTAGGAAATCACAATAAACCAGACTCGAAAATACTCATGATACTTCAATTGCTCTCGTGTCTGTAATTTTAATAAAAAAAAACTTTCAAAACTGCAAATCGATACTAAAATATTTTTAGTTCTAAATAAATCTGGATCAAGATAATTTATAGAATCAGGCGTTACTTTGTGGAAATCAATGACATTAAATGTATTTTGTCGCGGAATGATAGCTAAATAGTTTTCCTAACATTTAAATCTGGACCAATTCAACCGTAACGTACTCACCTTAGGAATGATGAAACAAATAAAATAATAAACCAGGCAAATGTATTGCACTATTGTGGAAGTAAGTGAAATGATGTACTGTAATGATAATAATTTTAGAATTAATAAAGTGTCAACTGCAAACTTAAATTACCCGAGAAACTTAAAGTTTCAGATAGGTCTCAAATAATTAACCAATGAAGTACAAATACCTGAAATCCAAAGCACACAGCCACTTTGTCACAGCAGTTTACCAGCTCATGGTACAGTTCCACCCATCCATTGATTGTCTCCACTGTGATAACATCACTAGTGCCATACCTGTCCACTGTGTGTTGTACCTCTAACATCAATGATATGAGGGTTTTGGACAGATCCACTATTGTCATAACGATTATGAACAACATGAAGTGTTCACATGCTGCTGTAGTTCTCCACATATATTCTGACACTGCACCAGTTATTGGAACATAAGTAATCCAAATAAAGTCTGTTTTAATACGTTCAAGAAATGTGAAGACACCATATATGCCACAAGTTACAAACGAAACTAAGCTTAACCAGTGATAAGTTGATTTAAATGAATAAATTATGTCTCTGTGACATTTTAAGCTATCGTAGACACGAGACACGCTCGTAAAGTATGAAACAAAAGCATGGCTGCGGGTAGTACCGAACACGACCGATACACAATACGTTAGAAAAGATGACAATCCAAACATTCCAAATTCAAAATACTTGTCAACATTGGCTTGTATTAGCAAGGAATATACTTCATCAATGATAACTATTAGATACAATAAATTGTGCACAACTAACTGTATGATTACTAAACATTTTTTAGTATTGTTATAATTAGAGTAGTGTCTATAAATGCCGAGTATATTTTCGACGGATGAAAACACGTTCAACCACTGTGTTGGACGCATGTTTTTCACACTGACATAATATTGAAAATGCTGACGACTATTTATTACTTAAAAAGTTTTTGAGTAATTACATGTCATCTACTATAATGGTGGTAATTTGACGCGGCTAACACATGGCAACACGACTGGCGACGGCGCTTTCTATTTCCGATGGCAATCAATAAAGTGTCTACAACATGATATTCACATCTTTAATATTCTTTGTTAATTAGTTTATTTGTATCAAGCAACGGATTCCCATTTTATAATATTATACTAGTTGAGCATTTATATACTGAAAAGAAGGGGCTAGAAAATAAGGAGAAGTGGGAGAATTTAAAAAAGAAAATAAAGTGGTTAGCGCCCATTTTTCCCGTGCCGTATGGGCAGCCACTTTAGTTGCAATCGATATGCAGACATGGCCGTATTTGCGCAAGTTAAAGTCGAATCGAATGTAGTTATTCAGGAGGCAGTCAAGCTTCTTGAGGAGATAGGCATTCAGGTCGTAATAGCAAACATCAGCATAATCAGTGCTAGTTAACTCCAAGGAGCGAAGAAGCATTGGATTAGTGCAGGACGGCAGGAAAATTTTTAAAACGATACGGGGCTCGCAGGGCATTACGTCGTTTACAGAAACCAGTAACGTAAATAGGTCTGTTCAAACTATAATCCATGTGAAGTCTGAGATTTTTAGTACTGAAGGAGATAATAGCACCGTCGAACAGGAAAGGCAACCTACTTAAGGTATGGAAGCTCCCTATGACTATCGCCTGGCAATTGCTTGGATTTACGACAACATTTTGGTTACTCGTCGCTCAAGGCAGTGAGGCCCGCATTCAACCTATCCGTATCAGGCAAGTCCTCTATCCTCGCTTGATAGTAGGTCGTTGGCATATAGATGGTACGAACACTGAAGTTCAGGGTTTTATAAATATTTAATGTGCAAACAGGTAATTTAGTGATTACAATAAAACGTTACGAGTTGTGACAAAGCACGATTGATAAATACATTACATTAAATACTAGCCAGAAACACTAGAATACATTGAGAAGCCCGTCGAGAAGCTATTCAACGACGATGCGATGCGATTGTGGCTAGTGGAGATCCGACTTTAAAGCCGGAGAGTATGCAGGGGAAGTGCACAACTTGATTCTCTTTAGTAATACCACCAGATAATTGGCAAAAGGTCACCATTTCATGGTGGATATCCCACACAGACGCACCGAGCGATTCGCCTCCCGTTTTTTATCAAAACCGCTACGGAACCGCAAACTTTACTGATCTCTGACTTTGAGGAACATAGACTCTGGCATATAACCTGCTTGTCTTCAAGGCCCACGTTAACAGGCTACTAATGAGTAGACATTCTACATCGTAGGTCGCATAAGGCTTACCACTATGCGAGATGGCGGCCTATTACCAATTATAATTAAAAACTATATAACATGATTGAATTGCAACAAGATGATAACGTTATCGACTACCACAGTGAGTAAGGCTGGCAGTAAGAAAATGCCAGCTGGCACCTTGGTCATAAACCTGATCTGTAGCGGACGCTTCTTGATCACTCGTATAAATTGCTTTACCAACCTCCTTTCTGCTGCACCAGCATCTGAAACTAAATGTATTGAGGTGGAACAACAAGCCTCCTTTGACCAGTGTGAAAGAGTGCTTTCATGTAACCACAATGAGTAATTGAAATAACTTTACAATGAAATGCCATCATCAGCCATGGTATTACCATCAATCATAGTGTTGTGCAGTCGAGCCATCACCCTCTGACACTTCGCCCACTGGTCACTTGCCATTTGGGTTGCTACTACGGGCAGTATCACCACAATCATATAACCAATTATCAATAACAAGAGTTTGAAAGTGCTTTCATATTCCCGCGTCTATAAAACAAAAGTTTATTTTAAAACTGCATAGTAATCAGAAGATTCGATTGCAGCCCAGTTTATAATAAATTTCAACGTACTTACCGTATACACGTTGTAGTAAATTACATAATACACCAGGATAATATAATGTACAGTGGAACAAGAAAGCGCAAACGTGTACTGAAACAAAAATATGTGTGTATTTATTGATTTGAATAGTATTACAGAAAACCTTATAAAGAAGTCTCAAACGAAAATTCACCAGTACCTTGATGTTAAACAACAAAGCAAAGGATAAGCCGGTTAAGTTCCAAGTACCTGATATCCAAAGCACACAGCCACCTTGTCACAGCAGTTTACCAGCTCCTGGTACAGTTCCGCCCATCCGTTGATTGTCTCCACTGTGATAACATCACTAGTGCCATATCTGCCGACTTTCTGCTGAGCCTCTAACATCAATGATATCAGGGTCTTGGACAGATCCACTATTGTCATAACGACAAAGAACAGCATAAAATGTTCAAGCACTACCGTAGACCTCCATAGAAAATTGGATACGGCAGTAGGTATTGAAATTTTTCTTTTCCAAACCAATGTAAGGTCAAGTTTTTCAACAGACATGATGATGCCATATATGCTACAAGCTACGTATAAAGCTAAGCTTAACCAGTGATAAGTTGATTTAAACGAATAAATAATTTCTCTGTGACATTTTAAGCTATCGTAGACACGAGAGACGCTCGTAAAGTATGAAACAAAAGCATGGCTGCGGGTAGTACCGAACACGACCGATACACAATACGTTAGAAAAGATGACATTCCAAACATTCCAAATTCAAAATACTTGTCAACATTGGCTTGTATTAGCAAGGAATATACTTCATCAATGATAACAATTAGATACAATAAATTGTGCACAACTAACTGTATTATTATATTAACTGTATTATAATTAGAGTAGTGTCTATAAATGCCGAGTATATTTTCGACGGATGAAAACACGTTCAACCACTGTGTTGGACGCATGTTTTTCACACTGACATAATATTGAAAATGCTGACGACTATTTATTACTTAATAAGTTTTTGAGTAATTACATGTCATCTACTATAATCGAGGTAATTTGAAGCGGCTAACACATGGCAACACGACTGGCGACGGCGCTTTATATTTCCGCTGGCAATCAATAACGTGTCTACAACATGATAAACACAACTTTAATATTCTTAGTCCATTTGTTTATTTGTATCAGGCAACGAATTCCCATTTTATAATACTATACTAGTTTAGCACTTATATACTGAATATAGTGGGCTAGGTAATAAGAAGAAGAGGGGGAATTTAAAAAACAACTAACAGCGGTTAGCGCCTATTTTTCCCAGCGCTGCCGTATGGGCAGCCACTTTAATTACAATAGATATGCAGAGACAGGGCCGTATTTGCGCAGGTTAAATTCGAATCGAATGCAGTTATTCAGGAGGCAGTCAAGCTTCTTGAGGAGATCGGCATTCAGGTCGTAATAGCAAATATCAGCATAATCAGTGCTAGGGAACTCCAAGGAGCGAAGAAGCATTGGCTTAGTGGAGGACAGAAGGAAAATTTTTAAAACGATACGGGGCTCGCTGGGCATTGCTTCCATTTACAGCAACCAGTAACGTAAGTAGGCCCTTTCAAACTGTAATCCATGTGAAGCCTGAGATTTTCAGTACTGAAGGAGATAATAGCACCGTCGAACAGGAAAGGAACCTACTTAAGGTGTTGAAGCTCCTTATGACTATCGCCTGACAATTGCTCGGATTAACGACAACACTTTGGTTACCTCGAGATCGTATCAGGCAAGTCCTCTATCCTCGCTTGATAGTAGGTCGTTGGCATAAAGATGGTACGAACACTGAAGTTCAGAGTTTTATAAATATTTAATACGCAAACAGGTAATTTAGTGATTACAATAAAACGATACGAGTTGTGACAAAGCTCGATTGATAAATACATTACATTAAATACTAGCCAGACACACTAGAATACATTGAGAAGCACGCCAAGAAACTATTCAACGACGATGCGATGCGATTGTGGCTAGTGGAGACCCGACTTTAAAGCCGGAGAGTATGCAGGGGAAGAGCACAACTTGATTCTCTTTAGTAATACCACCAGATGATTGGCAAAACGTGGCACACCTTCATGGTGGATATCCCACACATACGCACCGAGCGATTCGCCTCCAGTTTATTCATCAAAACCGCCAAGGAACCGCAAACTTTACTGATCTCTGACACACACGCACCGACCGATTCGCCTCCCGTTTTTTTATCAAAACCGCTACGGAACCGCAAACTTTACTGATCTCTGTGTTCACTTTGAGGAACACAGACTCTAGCATATAACCTGCTTGTCTTCAAGGCCCACGTTAACAGGCTACTAATGAGTAGACATTCTACATCGTAGGTCGCATAAGGCTTACCACTATGCGAGATGGCGGCCTATTACCAATTATAATTAAAAACTATATAACATGATTGAATTGCAACAAGATGATAACTTTATCGACTACCACAGTGAGTAAGGCTGGCAGTAAGAAAATGCCAGCTGGCACCTTAGTCATAAACCTGATCTGTAGCGGACGCTTCTTGATCACTCGTATAAATTGCTTTACCAACCTCCTTTCTGCTGCACCAGCATCTGAAACTAAATGTATTGAGGTGGAACAACAAGCCTCCTTTGACCAGTGTGAAAGAGTGCTTTCATGTAACCACAATGAGTAATTGAAATAACTTTACAATGAAATGCCATCATCAGCCATGGTATTACCATCAATCATAGTGTTGTGCAGTCGAGCCATCACCCTCTGGCACTTCGCCCACTGGTCACTTGCCATTTGGGTTGCTACTACGGGCAGTATCACCACAATCATATACCCAATTATCGACAACAAAAGTTTGATAATACTTTGATATTCCCGCGTCTGCAAAACAGAAGTTTATTTTAAAACTGCATAGTAATCGGAAAATTCAATTGCAGCCCAATTTATATTCCATTTCAAAGTACATACCGTATACACGTTGTAGCACATCAAATAATACACCAGGATAATATAATGTGCAATGGAACAAGAAAGCGCAAATATGTACTGAAACAAAAATATGTGTCTATTTATTGATTTGAATAGTATTACAGAAAACCTTATAAAGAAGTCCCAAATGAAAATTCACCAGTACCTTGATGTTAAACAACAACGCAAAGGATAAACCGGTTAAGTTCCAAGTACCTGATATCCAAAGCACACAGCCACCTTGTCACAGCAGTTTACCAGCTCCTGGTACAGTTCCGCCCATCCATTGATTGTCTCCACTGTGATAACATCACTTGTGCCATATCTTTCCACTCTCTGCTGAGCCTCTAACATCAATGATGTCAGGGTTTTGGAAAGATCCACTATTGTCATAACGACAAAGAACAGCATAAAATGTTCAAGCACTACCGTAGACCTCCACAGAAGATTGGATACTGCTGTAGGTATTGCAATTATTCTTTTCCAAACCAACGTTAGGTCAAGATTTTGAACAGATATGATGATGCCATATATGGTACAAGCTACGTATAAAGCTAAGCTTAACCAGTGATAAGTTGATTTAAATGAATAAATAATTTCTCTGTGACTTTTTAAACTATCGTAGACACGAGACACGCTCGCAAAGTATGAAATAAAAGCATGGCTGCGGGTAGTACCGAACACGACCGATACACAATACGTTAGAAAAGATGACATTCCAAACGTTCCGAATTCAAAATACTTCTTGTAAACAGTGGCTTGTGTTAGCAAAGAATAAACTCCGTCAATTATCACTATTAGATACAATAAATTCTGCACAACTAATTGTATGATTACCAAACATTTTTTTGTATTGTTATAATTAGAGTAGTTTCTATAAATGCCGAGTATATTTTCGACGGATGAAAACACGTTCAACCACTGTGTAGGACGCATGATTCTAGTAGCAAAGACACCGATAGAATATTTAAAACGTTGACGACATTATTGTAACCAAAAACGTTTTTAAGTAATTACATTTCATTTTAAGTAATTATATGGCAATCAATAAACAAATCTAATGTAGAAGTACTACCATACCTACGGCATAATATTATATGCAACTTTTATATTATTATTTGTATGTTCGTTTCCGTTCACGGGATCACAGGATCACGGACCTTTGGAAGGCGTGCGAGGGGCCGAATCCAACTCGCAGAGGCCCTTTGAACATCTTTAATTTAATTGAAATGGGACATCAGCCGGCAATTATCCCTGTATGCACTATGAAAGTGCACCCAAGGATAATCCCCGATTGATGCAGGACTATTGTGAAATGTGATAAAAATTGATAGGGTTATGGGTATGGGATGCTATGCACTAGTGGATGAAAACTATGGAAATACTATGGCCACTGCCCCTGACCAATATTGATACATACGGATAAACAGGCAGGGGGTGACAGGCAAACTTAATTAATGGGCCTCCGGAAACGGCCGCTAGCATGTAGCGACACGGGGGCAACATACGTTGAGCTATTTGGGAAAGGAGAGGGATCCCACGGCTATCAGAGCAATCCCGGAAGTACGGTCAAGACCCCTACCAGCACCTTACTGAGATACATCCTTCCCCCGAGTCTCCTTCAACTCCTACTCTTGCGATTCTCCACTCAAGCCAGCCAATTAAGGCAAAAATGAGGTGAGAGGGCTTGTTCCTCATCAGTGTTCACTCCAGCTCGTCACGAGGACTAACCCGAGAGAGAAGAACAAGACACCTCCCGGGAGTCAGGTCCGTGGGGTCGCCACTGCCCAACAGCTCGCCACAAGCTGCCTTGCGGATATATTATTATTATTTTTTATTAGTCGACGAGTGGCCATTTTATAATTGTATACTACGACATAAAACATAAAATACTATAAATAAATAACTTCAATGTGAACAGACATAAATAAGCGATGGAGCGGAACCTAAGAACCGAAACATTCAAGAAAGTCATGTCACAGTACTTCAAAACGAAAGTCACTAATCTGCGTTTGTTTATAGTGATAGTCTATGAAACGAAAACTTGTTCTCTGATTGTGGATATGGTCTTTATAAGCCAGCTCAAAGTCACTCAAGACGTTATGTTTATCGCTGGAAAGTGAGCTAGAAACAAAGGACGATTGATAAATACAAACACGTCATTTCTTCCATATTACTCATGGTTTTTCATTTACAGTAACAGCTGAAGTTAACTCCATTTGACTAGATATTAAACGTGAAATAGTCCCCAACAAAATCAAAATGAAAAACAATTACCTTATTGAAAAACTCTTAACTTTGACCACAATACATCATCATATCACATTACAATATCTTAAATGTTAAGAAAAATCGAATTCTTAAAGATATTGATGTAAAATATTAACATAAAGTAACAATGATATGTAAATAAATGATATTTTCTTTAAATTTTTGTGATCTTAATTTTTATATACAACGGGTTTGGTCGAATACACTGTGATTTGGAAAGAAATATACACATTTTTTTTTCGATAAAAAGCTTATAAAATTTTCGAATACAATAGCATAGAGACAGCTTTGAAAACGCAATTAAGCAAAGGAAATTATTGATTAGCTTCTGTTATTATGAATCATCATATATTACGAAACTACAAATAGACATTCGTATGAGAGCTGCAGTCGATCGAGTCACGACGTGTGAAGTGCAGTCACACTTCCGACACTTAGGCTCCATACACACTAGAATAGAGAAATAATCCGAAAACAAAATAAAGCTAAAAAAATTCTTATGCTTTTCATATATGGGTGGTATTTAATACTTTTGTAATATGATTAAAAGACTTGGATCTTGGATACTTGATTTTAATTGCATAGTACACAGTCGGGCAGCTCACTGCACCTGAGTTACATTGTCAATGGCCGACACTCTCTCGGCCACCTTCTTTATGACATTGCCAGTTCTAGTGCGACAATGATTAGTATTACTAATTACAGATAATACAACAACGTTAACAGTAAATATGGAGTAACAAAAAAAAAAATTAAATGCACACTAAATTTGCTCACCAAGTAAATCAATTGTAGGTATTATACTGTTACATATTTACCTGTTTTACTGACTGACTATATGTATGTTACGTAAAAGTAAGTAAATCTATATTTTTTTTGTTTATTCTAACCTAACCGAACCTAAAATTTCGTTATAATCCAAACCAATATTATAATTGCGAAAGTAACTCTGTCTGTCTGTCTGTCTGTCTTATCTTCACGCCCAAACTACTTAACCGATTTCTGTGAAACTTGGTACAGACATAATTTGGAACACGAGAAAGGACATAGGATAGTTTTAAAACCAAAAATCTGCAGGATATCACTATTCCACGTCAACGGAGTTGCTTTCAAAAGCTAGTATTATTTAATAATTTGTGTGCAAATCAGTATTTTTCTACAGACTAAAACTTGGCTGCTTGATGTTAAGTTGTTTATCTATTTGATTAGTATGTAAGCTGCTATTCTCATTTATATATTAAAACAGTTAATCCTTTTTATATTGTTAACACGAAAGTTGGTCAATCTGAGTGGTATTTGGCACAGATTATAGCAGTGAAATAACACATAAGGCTACACCTTACCTTAACGCGAATTCTATTTTCCATGACCGGGTATACACATACGGGTGCACTAAGGGACGTTGTGGTACGAACGCAGGAGTATCGCTTATAAATCCAGTTTTCAACTCGTGGGAAAAAGCACAGGATGCCGTTAGAATATTTTGTGATCTTTCGAATGCTTTTGACTGTGTTGAGCACAAGACACTATTACTGAAGCTAGAACACTACGGGATTCGGGGGGTATCTCTAGATTTATTGAAATCATACCTTCGGGAAAGAATACTATTGTACCAGCTTAAAGTACAAGTAGACAAATTAAATTCACAGGGTTCTAGTGTATGTATGGGCGTATAGCAGGGCCCAACATTAGGCCCATTCCTATTTATGGTTTATGTGTTTCTTATCATTTAGTAATTTAATAATTTAAATGGTGAGTAACTAGAATTTGTAAAGGAGATTACTTTCCTGGAGATAAATGTAGACGACAAGATCGGATGGGGGCCCCAAATCAGATCTTTAGTAGGACGATTGAGCTCTGCAGATTATGCTGTCTGGAAGATCGGTCAGCTAATCGACGTAGGCACGGCAAGACTAGTGAACTTCAGCTACTTTCACAGCATCATGGAATGGATGTCGTATGGATTTCTATTGTGTATCCATAACTGAAGTCGACGTAAATCTCTCAGAGACAAGTCATCAGGATATCAACATTATCATTATTTATGAAAACATTATGTATATATGTATATTAGGAAAAAGCTATAGTTATTTGTAAAATTATCTGACAAACATGACTATTATACTAGACATAGGAATAGATTAAGGCAGCCTTTATTTAGATTGGCAAAAGTGTATAAGTCGTTCATGGGTTTATATATGTGTTAAATGTTTGAAAGCAAATTTAAATTATGTATACTTAAAGAAAACTTTACTTAGAAAAGCATACTACCAACTAATGATTCTAAAGAACATAAAAATGCTCGGAGGCTAGCTAAAGTAGTTCTACTCCACAGGAAGAAAATTGTTAATGTGAAAAGGAATTTTGTAAAGGTGACTGCCCTTAAACCAATTATAATTAATTAGACATGTATAATTAATATAGGTTACTTGTGTCAGTTGGGAGTTGTTATGCTCACTTAGACGTCTCATTGGCGGTGGCACGGACATTGGATCGCTCGATTCCCTATAATATGGTTGAGTTAGAACCGACATATTAGAACCGACTAAATGTTGTAACGAAGAAATAAATTGTAAAATTAATTGAAAAAGAGTAAATATGGAGTTTCTTGCTCATTATTCTTCTCCATAGGAATCTACAGCTTGGAACGAGCAAGCTTCACTAGAGTAAAACCTTTTTATTTTTCTTTTGCTTGACGTTCAATATTGCCTGTTGTGGTCTTTCTGAAATAAATGATTGGATCTTGAATTTGACTTTATATAGGGTCGAAAACAAACCGGCTGACTGGCTGCTAGGAAGTTGAGCATCTTGTCGTAGTTTTATTTTTTTGTTGACGGTGCTTTCCACCTATGTGGGCTGAGAAGGAGTGTCAGACCCTTACGGACATAAAGTCAGTACAAGTACAAAACATTTATTCCAACTAAACGATAAATTGATACCTTTGAAATCTCAAATTTGAATCCTAGTCTGTCAGTCTGTTTGTCAGTGAAGCTGTGTGTGCTCGTTCCGAATTGTAAATTCGAATGCAGTATACACACAGGAGAAATACACAGTATTGTACCCATAGGCGAGGACAATGCAGAGACAAGTTGTTAATGAAGAACAAATGATATCTATCATTAAATTTTAAATCCCATCGTCTCGAACATGGCGCTCACACATGCATACTGACAATCCATTATTATTATAGTATGCTTCTACATAAACCCTATGTTTAAATAATAAAATAAGAATGTTCATTAGTTCTAATAATTTCAGTAACTTCTGACTATGTCGACTATGTCTGTGGCTTTTTTTCCAAATAATTGCAAATTTTTCCTTCCCAAAGATTTCTCACAGATATTCGTGCCGGGGCAAAAATAGATCTCTTGGATAGCCCGCTTTTGCAGAATAAATGTTGATTCTACTTCCGCAGCTCAACCTCACAGCAAAATTCCTTACCACATAATGCTGTGAAAATTACTAGAAAAAACAAGCCTTGATATATGTCTGTAAGCTGTTTAATCCTTCTAACTGTAAAATCAGCTGAGTTTAGTCTTCCGAAAAGCGTCTTTATGTGGGAACCCCGTTAAAGTCTATTGTCTAACGTGATATCTAGGTACACTGGTTCGTTTCCAAACTTTTGCCCATTCAAAATTATGTCACAATCATTACTGTGCACGTATAGCAAACTAAATTTAATAAATTTTTATTTAATAAGTTTTAAATAGAAATGGTCAGTCATGAACATACACTAAAAAGAGAAACGGACCCAACATCGAACCCTGCGAAACGCCCATATTTCATCTCAGAGACCACAGAGGTAGAACAACCTACAAAAATTCTTAGTTGCCGATAGTCTAAATATGATTTTCATAGACGGAGTGCAGTGTGTCTAATGCCGTAGTCATCTAATTTCTGCAAAAGTGTTTCATGATCAACGCAATCAAACGTTTTTGGGAGGTCGCAAAAGACAGAACGTCGTCCTGTCCTTCCTCCCAAGCACCAAATTTTTCCTTTCTTAAAGTGACAACGGCGTCAGCTGTACATCTTTAGACAAACCGTATTTTTGGTGATGGAAGATAGAATGTTTATCAAAGTGATGAAGCATCTGAGATAGCATTAACTTTTCAAACACGTTGCTAAAACCGACAAAACAGACACAGGCTACAGTTTTTTGGTTCTTTAGAGTCGCCATTTTTTAAAAATGGAATAATTTTTCTGTTTTTTATTAGGTTCGGGAAGACACCGTCATCCATACTTTCATTAAAAGTCCAAGGCAGACAGGCCTCAGTCATAGGCTTCAGGCATCCAATAAGGGTAGGATAGACTCCAAAGGTGAGGACCTTTGTTGATAAGATCTTGATTTCTTTATAAACATTTATTATCTCTAAAGTATTAGTATGGTGAAAACTAGAAAGAAGTTTATCTCCACTCTTACGAATTCCTACGGTGACCCAATCGCTAAACTGAAACGTAGCATAGACGTCTTTACGTTTCATTGTCAAAATATATTGATAATCCCTATTTAACTCTCCAAAAAAAACTCGTCTAACCTATTAAGATGACTTGCATAAAAAATTTCTATACCTAAATTATTGCTAAAGGATTATGACGTTTCTCTAATTTTTTTATTGTAATTATATGTAAAAAAGGTAGTTTGTAGAGGGAAATAATTATGACCTACAAGTAACCACAAGACCAGTGTGATCAGAAGCTGTTTAATTAAAAACAATTTAGAAAGACTATATAACAAGATTGAATTGCAACATGATTATAACATTATTGATTACCACAGTGAGTAAGGCTGGCAGTAAGAAAATGCCAGCTGGCATCTTGGACATAAACCTGATCTGTAGCGGATGCTTCTTGATCACACGTATAAATTGCTTTACCAATCTCCTTTTTGCTGCACCAGCGTCTGAAACTAAATGTGTTGAGGTGATACAACAAGCCTCCTTTGATCATGTGAAAGAGTGCTTTCATGTAACCACAATGTGTAATTGAAATAACTTTGCAATGAAATGCCATCTTCAGCCATGGTATTACCATCAATCATAGTGTTGTGCAGTCGAGCCATCACCCTCTGGCACTTCGCCCACTGGTCACTGGCCATTTGGGTTGCTACTACGGGCAGTATCACCACAATCATATAACCAATTATCAACAACAAGAGTTTGAAAGTGCTTTCATATTCCCGCGTCTATAAAACAAAAGTTTATTTTAAAACTGCATAGTAATCAGAAGATTCGATTGCAGCCCAATTTATATTCCATTTCAAAGTACATACCGTATACACATTGTAGTAAATTACATAATACACCAGGATAATATAATGTACAGTGGAACAAGAAAGCGCAAATGTGTACTGAAACAAAGATATGTGTGTATTTATTGATTTGAATAGTATTACAGAAAACCTTATAAAGAAGTCTCAAACGAAAATTCACCAGTACCTTGATGTTAAACAACAAAGCAAAGGATAAACCGGTTAAGTTCCAAGTACCTGATATCCAAAGCACACAGCCACCTTGTCGCAGCAGTTTACCAGCTCCTGGTACAGTTCCGCCCATCCATTGATTGTCTCCACTGTGATAACATCACTAGTGCCATATCTTTCCACTCTCTGCTGAGCCTCTAACATCAATGATATCAGGGTTTTGGACAGATCCACTATTGTCATAACGACTAAGAACAGCATAAAATGTTCAAGCACTACCGTAGACCTCCATAGAAAATTGGATACGGCAGTAGGTATTGAAATTTTTCTTTTCCAAACCAATGTAAGGTCAAGTTTTTCAACAGACATGATGATGCCATATATGCTACAAGCTACGTATAAAGCTAAGCTTAACCAGTGATAAGTTGATTTAAACGAATAAATAATTTCTCTGTGACATTTTAAGCTATCGTAGACACGAGAGACGCTCGTAAAGTATGAAATAAAAGCATGGCTGCGGGTAGTACCGAACACGACCGATACAGAATACGTTAGAAAAGATGACATTCCAAACGTTCCGAATTCGAAGTACTTCTTGTGAACATTCTTGTGAGCTGGCATTACCAAGGAATAAACTCCGTCAATTATCACTATTAGATACAATAAATTCTGCACAACTAATTGTATGATTACCAAACATTTTTTAATCTTGTTATAATTTGAGTAGTTTCTATAAATGCCGTGTATATTTTCGAGCGATAAAAACACGTGCAACCACTGTGTAGGACGCATGATTCTTGTGGTAAAGACAGCTACAGAATATTTAAAATGTTGACGACAATTTTATTGTCTTCAAAGTTTTTAAGTTATTACATGTCAACTATTTTAGTGTCTGGGCCACTAAGTACTTATATAAAAGCTTCTCATATAAATATAGTTGATCATAAATTCAACAATCGCTACATATAAAACTTCTTGCAATATATGTAGGTACAGGCAAGCACATTGACGTTTGAACTTAATTAAATAATTTTTACAGTCCCACCCACATTAATACCATCTGCCCATGATAACTCAACTGCCCCCTGCACCGCCTTAAGTGCTACAACGAACACAGCAACAACTGAACCAGGGGGTAGGCTTGAACCCCCGGTAACCTCAGTCACACTGCGAAACACAACGCTGTGGTTGTTTCAGGCCCGGTATTCTGTAAGATCATTCGTATCACACTGGTCAACCCAATCCATTCGTGCCGGAGCATGGCTCTCCTACTTAACATTTAAAACGTAATCACGTTATTGAATTAAAAGAACTTATTTTATATTATAAATCAATAAATATACTTCTAATAGGATCACACCCTCTTTCAGTAATTTTTACATATGTTTAATTTTCGAAGGTGTTAAAAAAAATTCGAGAGTAACAAGAATGCTATTGGCGTAAAAAATATGAAGGTATCTACAACTTGCCATTTCAAACAAAATTCACACAAAATTATCGTTATGACATTTCGTAAATAAAGAGATATTGAAATCGACTAGTTGGGGCTTTTTTAAATGCAGCCCTTAATTGACCATACACGATATTTGCTATGGTTACTGAATAAACTGCAACAGACTGAAATCACTAAAAAACACAAGTGTGGGAGAGCCATGCTTCGGCACGAATGGGTCGGCTCGACCGGAGTGATACCACGGCCTCACAGAAAACCGGCGTAAAATAACCACTGCGTTGTGTTTCGCCGTGTGAGTGAGGTTACCGGAGGCCCAATCCTTCCCCTTCCCCAATCCCTCCTCAATCCCTAAATCTCCAAATCCCTAATCCCTAAAAGGTCGGCAACGCACTCGTAACTCCGCCGTTGCGAGTGTCCATGGGCGGCGCTGATTGCTTACCATCAGGTAATCTGTCTGCTCGTTTGCCGACATAAAAAAAAAAAAAAAACATAAGTATCTTATTCACTTGAAGAAGACGGAATTTGTTTTTTTTTTACACAATTAAAAATGATTGTAATTTCTGTTAATGCTTAAGAAGCATTTTCGGGACAATAACCTCACCATTGAACTGTTGACATTTTTATTAAATGTCCTAATCGGTCGACTAAACAATTAGATCTGACGATAGTTCCAAATGACATGAACTTTCATATTTTAATTTACTCAAGTCATTAAATGTCAAACTTATTTGATAACACATTAATATAAATCTTCTTTAAATATTTGAAAGGAGAAACTGACTGACCGATTGACTGACATATCAGCGCACAACCTAAACGGCTAAGAGTAGCCACTTGAAATTTGGAAGGGACGTAGCTTTGGTACCATAAAGGTCCACCAAGAAAGGAATTCCCGAAATTAAAGAGAATTAGCGAAAAAATCCTTTTGTATGAAAAATCTAAACCGCTTAAGTTAAACGCTTGAAATTTGGCATGCATGTACCTTAGTAAACTTAAAGCTTAGTTGCAACAGGATATTGCAATATAGTACTGAAACTAGTTTGATACATGTTTTAAACATTAATAGCCATGCTTCGGCATAATTGGGCCGGCTCGCCCGGAGTGTGATTATGAGTGTGCTTACAGGAGGACCAATCCTTCCCTCACTTCCATCCCCAATCCCATAATCCTTTCTAAATGTCGAAAACCCGGAATCGCACTTTTAACTCCTTGATGATTGATTGATTACTATCTGTTGATCGAGGTACTCGTTTTTTATTAAAACGTTGCCCATGACACCCAGAAACAACAATTTGTGGATCACACAAAGTGTTGTTCCGTGCGGGAATAGAACCCGCGACACGTTGCACGGCAGCCAGTTACCCAGCCACCGCACCAGCCGTGCAATCTAAACGTTTGCCGACGTATAAGAAAAATGTAACCTCAAACAGAAAAAAAATCCATATGTAAGACACTAGTGTAGCCACCCATACTTTTATCACTTTCAATCGACCACAATCATAGCATCAATTCACACTTATGAATAAAATCAGTAAAAACAATGAATCTATACAATATCATCCAACACACAATTTCGTGAAATAGGAGATTAAAGATCATAATATTATTCAATTTCGACACAACTTCGTTTATTAAATCGATATCGAAAAATATAGCGTTTGATCTGTGCGTTTGACGTATAAGTAATATGCTAAAAATTACATCCAAAAATCTCCGTGGTTACGACGCTCTGAAGAAAACGTCCGCTATACCACGAAATTTTCTCGCACGCACAACAAATTCCTTGAATAATGCCAGAAACAGATTCCTGTTTTATATTCCATACATTTATATTAATATATTTTACATCTAAGACACCTCAATCGGGCTTAGAAACCGATACGGTTTCGTAATAGAGGATTAAGCCACTTTAAATGGTTAATACCATTTACGTATTCCAAGCGGTTTCATTTGCTCGATCGATGGCTACATACACTCGGTTAGACTACAAGAGAACAGCGACTAAGATGTATTGTATAACATGATCAGTTGAACTGAGACGTGGAACCTTAATTAGAATTCTCATCTTCATTTTAACAAACGGAACATTTCATTTTTAATTACCTAAAATGAACCATTTGTAGTGGTTGAAGTGATATCGGTAAGCACACCCTTACAAAATACAAAAATACAGGCATAAAACAGCGCTAGCGTTGTGTATCAGTGCCTGAGTGAGGTTGCCGGGCGTCCAATCCTCCTTTCTCCATCCCAAATACCCTGATTTTTAAATCCATAACCCTCACAATGACGAACACTTATAACTTATCTGATGTTGCGATTGTCATTTTCATTAATAATGGCTCAACCGATATGGACAGCCAAGGCCTTAATATATTTACTGACGTGAAACATCATCAGTGGTATCGTTACTTGAGTGTGGGTACCGGAGGTCCAATCCTCATTCCCCCATCCCCTCCAAAAAGACAACAACGGTACTGTGTGTGTACATAGGAGACACCAATTGCTTACTATTAGACTACTAAGTGATTCCTCCACAAGTTGGCCGTCCTTTCACAAAAAAGATATTTAAGTACATAGAATCAAATAGCAGCAGTGTGATTCTGTAAGACTTCATTCTAAACTTCGAATCTGAATCCGCCGTGAGTAGTAGTACACTAGCGCTACACTTGCGGGTTGAACTAAATTGACAGCATCATTTTGAAAGATAAAGTATGAAATGACGTTAAAAGTGGCATTCTAAAATTTAATTTCCCCGTCACTTCAACGCTCACTTCGCACTCGAACACGGTTCAAAATCAAACAAATTTTATAGAATCGACGTGCAGTATTTCAACGTCCATTGATAACAAGTAGATAAATAAACAAATGACTCGACGATGGCTGGTTTCATCAATATTTCGTAATGATTTCCAATCAAACCAATAATTAACGTATTCACAACGTGTCCGCAACACATTTGACTAATTAAATTGTTGATTTGCTTTCGGAATCAAATTGTAGAAATACATTACCACTCTGTTATATACACACTGTTTATAACTTCTGTTATATATGTATATTGAAAGAGATTTTAAAAATAGTACCGATGCAAATATACGCATAATCCGCCAAATGCGTTGTAACTGCTTAACTCAACAATGCCTTGACCAATCTTACCTATTCCTTTTTGTTATGTTTGTCAAGAGAAGGTTCTTATAAAAGAAAATATTAGAAAAGCAGAGGAGAAGCTGGAAGTTAGGAGCCGTTTCATCGTTAGCAGGACAGTTGTTGACCCGTACGAAGCAAGGGCGGTACGCTAGTTCATAATAATAATAAATTGTAAGTGTGTTTTCGCACTACGCTCAATCCGAAATGATGTGTATGGCAATTATTGCAATCATGCACAAAAATTTATTTCAGATCAACCTTTAAAAAGATTTGAAACTAACCTTAAGAAGTCAATTTATTAGTTGGTATTTATTAAGTATCCAACCAATTAGTTTTAATTAACTAGTAGTAGCAAAGTAACCAAAATTTTGCATGTCATGAAGCAGAATTGGCAAAAAAAATATATTAACTTAATAAATTATTATTCTTTAATAATGCATCGCATCTGAACATAAATATCACAAAGGTTAACTTAATTCCATTCTTCTATTACTTATGTAGCTAGAAGAACAATTAGAATTATTGAACAAAATAATTTAATAGCATTGAGATCAAATGTACCGAAATATAAAATTGAAAGAATGTTTTCATCTTTCAAAGTTCCAGGAAAAGGAACACGCACAAAGTCATTCAGCCGAACAGA